TTAGGGTATATGATTTAATTATTTGAAACTTAATCTCCCTTTTCAAATTTCCTGCAATGAGAACGAAATCAGGAAGGACATTTTTGTCTTCACAATTATCTTTATTTTTTTATTTATTTACAGAAAAAGATAGACATATTGAGATGTGAACCATGGTAACTTCAAACAAAGTAAAGCTTTAAAGTCAATCAGACTATGTAGATTTGCTGTATTTTTTTAAATTAAAAATATATACGAAGCTAAAATATGAAATCACAAAACTTTTCAACAGTTAGCTAGCCCAATAAATATTCCGTAAGTACTTATTTGGTGTTCTGATACTTCAATTTTGATATTTTTATTTAATTATAGTTTAATACTTAATTTAAAATTTTATCTATATTATAAATAGACAATAACCATAAATTTGCAACCAAAATATTGTTGGTTCGAATATTTCATATCGAATTATAGTATTGAATATGTAGAAGCGATATAGAATTCTTAAATTATCATTAATTTCCCGAACTATAGTGAAGCAATCATATCTTTATGCAAACTATAGGGGACTGGTTCTCTAAACATTTTTGTCCGGATAAATACTAAGTTTTGAAACTCTTCCTAGGGGTGTGCGTGGGTCGGTTCATTTGGGTTTAGATATTTTAATCACCTAACTCATATCCCACGATGTTGAAAACACTAAATACAAACTCACCCAAATCATTTAGAATTTTAACGGTTTGTGTCCTCCATACCAAATGACCCATTTACATGTCTCTTAACTAAGGACGATCTCATTGTCCAATCCCATCATTCTAATGTCAATCCATAAAAGTAACCCATATTCGCGTTTGTTAACACATGTTTCACATTGTCATTACTGTGACCGGTAACTTCACTGCAACTGATTCGGTATTGCTCATCATATGGCCTCCAAACTGATAAACATATGGGGCCAGCAGTTTTATGACAAAACTCAAAGTGAAGACAACTCATCGTCTGGTGGAATTTTGGCGTTTGGTGGTGTCCATTAATCTAATTGCAGGCATAATGATTGCTAAAATTAAGCTTTCACGCAACACACTGGGAGTTGGGGGTGCGTACTTGGAGTAAAAGTTGATATTGGGTTTGGGAAGGGATTAAGGGAAGTGGTGAGGGAAAGAAATTGTGTTTGGATTTGGTAGCAGGTAAAGTTCATGGTTTAGTTTCTTTTCGTAAAATGCTTTGATTTATTTTAGTTAGAGGTATAATATCATTGTTATGTGGGATCAAATGAACCAAAAATGAGCTTGAGGGATGGGAATTCCAACTTAGAAGGAGTGGATTAGATTTTGATAAACTCAAGTTAATGATTAACTGAAAGAATATTTAGATTTAGACTTTGTGGTATTGAGATGTTCATAGAGAGTCTAAAACTGATCCAAGGCCATGGATTGATAATGGTTAGTTGATTGTGATTTTGAGGAAGGTGTATAAAAGTCATGATGGAAGTAGTTTGCATCAAGTGAAGGCAGTGAAGAGGCAGTTGGTCAGGGTAGTGATTGAACCAAAGAGGGTACTGAAAGACATAGAAGCAAAATCGGAGCAGTTGAAGAGAGAGAAGTGGTAGATGATCAGGATATTAATGAAAATGGAGAGGGTATTGAAGGGCATGGAAGTGAACTGGATCAGGTGAAGGCAGAGAAGGAGGAGAAGAGCATATTGATGGAATTGAAGATGAGTGTTGGTTTTACGAGCTTATTAAAACTGCCCCGAGGAAGATGAGTTGGCAAAATACAAGAAAGAGGATTGAGGAGTTGGAGATCAAACTGACAAGAAACTCAATTGAAAGAGAAATTCAGGTTCATGGAGAGAAGGTCCATCAAAGTAGTATAAATGGAGTTGCAGAAGGAGGATTAAAAATTGAATTTTGGTTTAAAACATATACGTCGAGAGATTGAAGATGGAGGGGATAAAAAGTTGGTTGTACAACGGAGAGTAGAAACTATTGGATCTTTAGGTGTTATGGTTGTTGCAACTACCACAACCTATGTTTATGTTAAAACGAGGAATCATTGATTGATTTACTAAAGTTAAGGTCGAGCACTATTCAAACTATTGGAACCTGTAGATAAGAAGTGTCTAAATTTGTGCCTCATTACTTTGATCGAGTCTATTAGTATATTGGATGTAACTCTAATTTTGTCATTTGCTTTCAAGTTTTGATGGTTTCCTTTTAGTTGAGTTGTTAGCATATGATTTACTTGAATCAACAACTCTTCATTTTTTTTTTATAAATCCATTTCCTTTTTATTAGTGGCATGTTATTCATAGAGGAGAGCTTTGAATAATTTATGTGGGATTGTGAGGTTTCATTTCAGTTTCAAACTATCTATGGATCGTGTGGGAATTCCAATGAGCTTTTATATTATATATTTCTAAACAATCTATTAACCAATATCATTTTAATGGGGGCTCAATTATCATTATAAAAATGTGATTAATGATACATTTTTATATTCTTAAATGAGGAGGGTATTTTCCTGAATATTCGACCTATATATTCATTCTTTATGTAGAATCTCGATTGAATGATTTTCAATAAACTTAAACAAATTAATAGACTTAAACATAACATAAAAAAATTAAATATTAAAATATGAACATTCCGGCCAACGGGCCGGATTATAAGCTAGTTTTTCAATATGGATATCGTTTTTCTGATGATATGGTTGAACTTGGGTGAGAGGCAGGAAAGTATCATCACAGGAGGCACATAACATAACTTTGGGGCAAGATAGGGTGAATAGGTTATCCCCCTTCTTACCTAAATCTAGAATTTTGAATTTGAGTGGGCCGAGAAAATTTAGATTTAAAAGGTGGAATTTAATGGCTTTCTAATTTTCATAATTTTTTGGATCGCCTCTTAATTTCTTCGTTCTAATTTTGATTTCAAAATACATGACTATAAAGTACCACTGCGTACCACCCTGGTATAGGGGTGCTAACTAGTGGTACACAATGTTGAATGTGGTAAATGACAGTTCGTATACTCATACTATCATGTACTTCAATAGCCAATGATACACCTATTTTGTCTCCTCCTTCATGAGAGCACAACATATGTTGAAATTCTTCCCAACGGGAGTAGCACCTACGACCTCCACCCACGGCATTTTATACGCATTGGCCTTATACGTTGAGTGGATCAGAATCACATACGGCTAAGCCTTCAATATCTGGATGGAAGTTGGATGGGCAAAAAAAAGATGGGTAAGCACGTCATTATCGTCCTTCATAACCTCTATATGATAATTCTCGCGTTCAGCTGCTTGCAACGCATACTGCAGTGCATTCATCTCGCCCATCTCGTCTTTCCTAGACTTGGACCCGAGGTTATACATTTGCCTTTTGGTGTGATGCCCTTTGTCACCCTTCTGCATGTTTATTTTCTGCTTCTGTTGCGACGGAGGTACCCCAGCATCTCTCATCTGCTTCAGAGATTCTTTATCTTCCTGACTAAATTTCTTCATTTGACTGTGGCCCTCCGGATAAAGCATCTTCTCGTGATTGTGATACCCTCGCCTTAAACCGGTTTCTTGCTCCCTCACTTCTTGTATCACCCAGAATGAAGGTCCATTAAGAGCATCTGGATCAACCAATAGTTCTTTGTTTTTAACCTTGAACATGCAATTAGACCCTTTTGAACTTGTATTGCCACGACTCTCCTTGGAAGGATCCGGCTTGTATGACTTCCTCTTCCTACTGCATCTGTCGCAATACATATAACACATACCCAATACTCTTTTGTTGCGCAACTCACGTGACTTTATCGATCCCTTAATTAGAAAGAAACCAAGAGACATCGCGATGTTTTTTGTCACTGTTACAGCATCTTCGAAATTGTCATATTGGACGCTATTGAGAAAATTGTATGTGTAATCACCATTTAGTTCAACATTGTAAGTCATTTCCACCTGCAATTATGATTTTACAACTCGTTAGAAAGATACAAATTATATGATTCTCCAAATTTAAACTAAATGCAATAATTTAATTAACTCTACAAAATAACGATAATTTGACGATAAGAAATTTAATTAAATATAAATTATTAAATCAAATTAGCTCTACGAATTAAATCTAAACACAATAAACTAATTAGCGCTACAACAAAACACAATCACTTAATTAAACTAATTGTGCTTCAATTGACTCTACAAAATTAAACTAAATGCAATAATTTAATTAACTCTACAAAATAACGATAATTTGACGATAAGAAAATTAATTAAATATAAATTATCAAACCAAATTAGCTCTACGAATTAAATCTAAACACAATGAACTAATTAGCGCTACAACAAAACACAATCGCTTAATTCAAACTACATACGAAATTAACTGTGTAAAATAAAAATAAAATGATAAATTAAATCTAAATTATTAGCTCTAGAATTAATAATAACATAATATATATCAAAATACTAACAAAAATAAAATAAAAAAACTGTCGGCGTTGGTCGCCGTCCGCTCGACGGGATCGGACGCCGTCCGCTTGCCGGTGTCGGACGTCGTGCGCTCCCTGGGGTCGGACGGGGTCTGTCTTCGACGGTCGGACGGGGCAAAATACAAGAGGTTTACCTCATTCGCTGGTCCGACGATGTGGTACGGCTGCCGTCCGGTGCCCGGCGACTTATGCTGACGGTGGTCCGGTGGCCGTAGATTTAGGCTGCCGTCTGATGGCCGTGACTCCGGCTATGGTGATTGTGGGTTGGTGGTCAGGTGGTGGTGTAGGTAGTTTAAAAACCCAAACCAAAGAATATAATATAAAGAAATTTTGGAGGCCAAAAAGTATTTTTAGTTTAATTTACGAGCGGCAAATAGTAATGACACAGGCGGCAAATAACACGCTTCTAAAGCAAATTAGCTTCTGCCTTCTCGACATTTGTTTGGTTAAGGGATATTATAAATTTTGTGTACGGTTAAATATGTCAATTTAATAGGTTTTAGGGCGATAAAATTTAAATTTTAAGGCGACGAATAGCAATTCAGAGCAGCAAGAGCATAAAGCTTGTACTAACAAGAAAATGTTATCTCAATCTGATACTGAAACTATACTCGCCACATGAGACAAATAGCAGGGACACCCCCCGAACGGTAGTTAACCTTTCTCGCAGGTTCTTATCGACCTTGTGTGAAGAAGTTTGTTAAGAACTTCAAAATCATCCCCAGAAAGTGATTTCTCAATGAGCTGTCACCGATATTTTCGCCAATTTCTACTCCTGAGCCGCTCTTTCCTCTTGGCTCTCATGCTTGTGTCCCTAATTTTTTCTCGCCGTTGGATCAATTTCCACTTCCAGACGCTTTGATTCTGCTATCAAACTATCATTTTGTTTCCCGTGCTCATTACTCTGTTCTACAACTGTTTCAGGCTCTTGAAAATACTTCATGGGTTCCACATCGTTCTGCACACTTCCTTGATCACCGGAGATGGAAAGAAGAGATGCACCACCACCTCCACCACCACTACCCAGACCTTTACAAACACAAACATACTTGAAAACCAGCTGTTTGTAGGAGTTCAACAACTCTTCCACGTCATTGATTGTTAGATCACCAACATGGGAATACAAGTAAGGGTACTCTCGAAAAACGTGATTTGCCCTGTCCTCCTTCAAAATGAGAGCGGCTCCTCTGTTCTGTATATCCAACATTGACGAAACCTTATCTAATGATGATACCACATCTTTTGAACTTTCTGCATCCATAGTTCTAGACCTAGTCTCTGCAGTTCTGGGTCGGACTGAAGAATTCCTCTCCTTTAAAAACTGATGCCTGGATTCAGGTTTGACAATATTACCTGCACCTTGTGCGACAACCTCTTCAGCTGAAGGACCTGTTGAGACCAGTGCTCGAGCCAGTTCCATATTCTTTTCATACTCGGCTTCTTCCATTGAGATAGATTTTGGGGTAATGTTAGAGATGAAAGACTCTGCAGACAGCATATTTGTGAAAAAATATGCTGCTTCCCCCACCAACCGGGATTGACGCCGATACCGCTGTATGTACAACAAATTTGAGTGCAGCTGTGGAGGATTTGCCTGCGCATATAGGAAAACAAGACCTTACAAGTATACACAGTTGAGGTGCTAAAGAGAAGAAGCAGAGCCATACAAAGCTGGAACACTACCCAGAACAGCATAGTTTCATGCATTACTCTTCAGGCAAAATTAGAACTCTCACGGAAACCTTTCTAAAGGCAATAGCAACAAATTAGGCATTCTGGCCTGGCCAAGACGCTTTTCGGTAGGGTTCGAGGTCTTGGAGATCTAGAATCGGTAGTCACTTAGCCTGATTCCTAAAAATAGAACATGATGAGATATGTGCATAACACCTACAGTAGACTGCATTACACGTTTCCAGGTCAAATGAAAACGAAGAATCTCCCAGAATATTATAAGAAGACTGTCTTAAATAACAAGAAACTCCAGGTTAATGCTAATCTAAAACTATTCAGGATGTTTTAACATCTTGTTATTATTATGCAGCTGCATTAATGTTTGCTCAAAGTGCACCGACAAGCACCGGTCTATAACATGCCATGAATTGTCAGGTCATCATGCAGGACAAGATGTTGTTGCAAAGTAAATTTCAAGTAGTAGAACATAAACGAGCTTAGCAATTCCCACATTTAGCAGCGGAATCTTGCATATTTGGTCATAATCTTACCCTCATTGTAACATAAATAAGAACCGGAAGGAATTCATCAGCTCCAGGGGGATTCTCATTCGAAGCAATAGAAGCATTAAGCAATAAATGGTTTATGACCTTGCAGCAGTTGAGGATGCACACAAGCTTATCTCTTGGCGCCTTGCACATATTGATCTTCTGTAGTTCTTTCTGCGCAAGCTGCCATATCACCAGAAAAATTAAGGTGAGAACAAGGCAAGATAGATAGAATTTTGAAGTATAATACAAGGATATTTGACAGTAGTTGGCATCACAGACCAAAATTCAGCAACGCATATCATATCCTTTGCGAGGAAAAGGAATTATATACGCGGTCTATAAAGCTTGGCTGACAAAGGGCCCTATTCATGGATGAACTCTGAGCTAGCTAGAATGTGATAAACGCTAACCTCTTTGGAAGCATAATTAGAAACAGAAAATAGTCTACTCAGTTGACAAATAACAGTGGCAGTGAACAAATGATAATAATTAATAAATAATGCCTTTTGACAGGACCAAGGAGGCAGAATATTTAATCGTATAGGTTAATGAGTAAAAACTATTTTTAGTTCTCTTTGTGGGTGCGCTATGTGTGTGTCGGTGTAATTGTATTTGAATTACAAATGCTTATATCTCAACCCTACACTGGTGATCATTCTCCCAGGCCAAAAGATTCATGAACCCCAAGTCCATTCTGAAGAACGCATATATAGGACAAATGAGATTGTCTTCCAGCTTGATTTCATTCAGTATGAAGAAGGCCAACTGTTTGCTAACACCATCAAACATTTTGAAACAGAAGTTATGAATGACCAAATCCAGCAAAATAAAAGAAGAGCACGTCCTTCTTATACCAGAGCTTCATAGCCCGTGGATGAAGAAGCTTGTTAAATGGTGAATTTAATTTAAGTGCTCTCCTAGTTCATTGATGACAGGACAATGTAAAGTAGTACTATACATACAACTATGAGTAAACCAACCAGCATACCAGCCAAGATGTCAGGACAATGTAAAGTAGTACTATACATACAACTATGAGTACCAACCAGCATACCAGCCAAGATGTTTCATTCTCGAACGAGGGCTTAATATCCAAATTTTCAGGACGAACAAAGTGTTGAATCAAAGACATCTTCTCAGAGAGTTGCTCATCAGCTTTTACATCATCTGGAAGTGAAGCAAATACACGGGTAAATAACTTTGTCATTACGTACTTCTCGAGACCCTGTATACGAAAGAAACATCAGATGTAACAGACCTTCATGAATTAAGGATTGTCAGCCATTAAAAATAAAGGCAAATAATATGACGTAATTTAAGTATAGATCCTAAGTTCATTTAAGAATAGGTCCACCACAGGTTTCAAACAAGGATCTGTTACTGCAAATATTCAAGCTTATAAAACGGGCATGTTCATTTGGATTACATTAATTCTCCACAAGAGTTGCCTGCTTGCACAACATGCAGATTGTGAAATTTGGAAATTCGATCGAATGAAAAGGCTGAGCACCTGTCAGCCAACAGTATTCAATTTCAGTGCCCTAGTCCTGGGGTGATTATTTAAATTACTGACATGGCACATTGACTTCTTTTTTTTTTTTTTTGTGAAACATTCCCTCTTTTGATGCTCTTTATTCTAGGGCTTGAGAATCAACTCAAATAAACCAGCCAAAGAACTAGTAAAGTTCTCTGTTCTCTACTTCTAGAATTGGTTGTAGGAAATAAGAAAACCTAATAAGATTCCACCAGGTTCAGTGCAGATCCGAAGGGCTATGGAAGACTCAAAATTTGTGTAACACAGCAACTCTTAACAAAGTACTGATGTGCTGCTATCCTAGCCCTTCACAGTTATACTAAAGGTAAAAAAATCACAATACGTTAGACAAGAGCACTATCTAGTTAGAAAAGCATAACTTGCAAAGATAATAGGCAGAAACTCACTTCACCGGCACTCTCCAACTCCTCCTCCTTACAGCCTGCCCAAAGTGGATGAGCCCTGAAAGCAGTCTCCATTTGGCCAAAAAACCCTTGCACAAGAGCACTATCCCTTTCAGGATCTGGTGCATTGTTCGAAAATGAAACAATGAAGCTGAGATCATTAAGTAAAAAACGTTCAAAAATTATTATGTTGTCAGATAACAGTAATTTTATCAAATAAAATCAAATTCATGCACAGGGAACCAGTTGGCTTATTGATGTGAAACACGCTAATAAGCAGGTTCCAGCATTTATAGATGACAGGGATATGTCATACAATATTCCTAGTCGACATTTCCTTGGTTAAACTCCTAACATGTTATGGTATAATGTTTTATCTATGCACAATCACATTTCTTGTAACAACTAAATAATCACATATAGTGAACCAAACATTGGCCTCACCACTGATTTTAATAAAGGTAGGACCTAATCCAAGTCCTTGTTTTTCGGGTTTACAACAGCATCAGTGGTTGCATGAGCATTCCTGTTTTACTGCAATGCCATTTGGGTTCATTCATCAAGCATGCCTCTGGACGAATTCCTTTATTGTCCATCTAGCAACATAATTTTTGCTACTATGAGATATGATAAACTAATCTAAGTAATACTTTACGCTTACAGAACATTTTATGACCTAAACATATCGTAGGAGACACCATGACTAGTTGATGCAAAGGGAATATTACTTGATTGCCACTCACTTCACAGTTAACCCATCCGGGAACTGATGAAAGTAGCGTTCAGATGGGGAATATCTGCAATGAAAGAACATCTATCGAGCTGCAGAAACACTCTGATGATAACAATAACAAAGAAAAGCTAATCACTAACAAAAGATATCCGAATAACCCTGATTAACTACTTAATAAGGGAACCAAGTAACTGGAAGCCTACGCCATATAGAGAACCTCCTCCTAGTCTTCCTGTCGGGTTAAAACACTAAAAACCCAAAGATAAACCAAACATAATATTCTCTTCTTATTGAATTCCATCGAACTTCAGCCCAAGATGCAAAGATTCAACAGCATTTCCTTTTTCGCTGTGCCTCTAGGGTCATGTGAATGGTTATACACTTGACTTCTATACTCATCAGTGGCAGCCGAAGTAAACTAAGGAATTTGTGTCAACATCAGCTGGCATATTGGAAGGCACACAGAAAGGGGTGAAATGTGGTGGATTTTGGAAGTCAGATTCAAAGAAAACTATCCATTACAATTACAAAGCTCAACCGCCGAACTAGCAAGTGAATTCAGAAGCTATAATGAAACCATCAAAGATAAATGTTGTAAATCAGCGGAAGCGCGGGAAAGGTTCGCATTCCCCATGGTTGTAGACTTGTAGTGTGAGGTAAAGGGAGAGAGACCTTTTGATGGATTTAACGAAATCGGCGGCGGACGGCTGCTTCATCCGTTCAAGGAAGTCGTGCAAGCCCAAGAAGACGTCAGCGTTCTCCATTGAGGACTGCGATATGCTCGTTTTTCACTCGTCTATTCGAATTCTCTCGGTGGGAGTTTTAGTGGGAAAAGCGGAAACTATCTGTGTGTAATGCCCCGGTGGAGGAATGGATCTATTCCGGCAGTTGATGTTAAGGATTGCTTGAACTGAGAAGAGAATTGAAGGATTAAAAGAGAAGGGGAAGGATTAAGAAAGAATAGAGTAGGAGAAGAGAAGAACAAGTTGAAGGTCAGAAGCAGAAGGAAGAGGAAGAACAGAGCAGAGAGAAGAGAGTTCTGTAAATTGGTTATTCCTTATTCGATGCGAAAAAGTTAAACAGCTAACTAACAAATGCAAATTCTCGTAGAATTAGGAACAATAGCTTTGAAAAGTTATAAATTAAAGTTTTAATTAATTTTTTAGTATTTTTTCATAAACGAAAATCATATGAATAATTAATAAAATAAATATTATAGAGATAATTAGGATTAATTATCTAAATATAATACATTTTAATTATGAGAGTAATTATCTTACTAATTAAAATGTGATTTATTCTCAAAGAAAGAGGGAATATTTTGGTTTTTTCCTCCTATTAATAAATAATAATACCTCGTAGACCTTCTAAACACACCTCAAAGGAGCAGAAACACGAGAGAGAGTGAGTTCATAGAGCTTCAGTCTTCGCACAAAATCGATGAGCAACAAATCAGAGTGACTGTTTTATCCTGAAGGCGACCGACTGATAGTTTGCTATGCGCAGCTATTGCTAAAAAAGGGAACCGGTTCTAGAACGAAAAGAGATAACAAATTCGTCGTTAGCACAGTACGGTAAGAGAACTCCTAACGATAGGAGAAATGAGGGTGAATCATGTAGGATCCTAACTGAATCTAGTTGATCCTTTGACGAAAGGATTATGAGAAAAGTCCAAAATACCACGAAGAGTATGAGAGTAATTATTTTACTAATTAAAATGTGACTTATTCTCAAAGAAAGAGGGAATATTTTGGTTTTCTCCTTCTATTAATAATACCTCGTAGACCTTCTAAACACACCTCAAAGGAGCAGAAACACGAGAGAGAGTGAGTTCATAGAGCTTCAGTCTTCGCACAAAATCGATGAGCAACAAATCAGAGTGACTGTTTTATTCTGAAGGCGACCGACTGATAGTTTGCTATGCGCAGCTATTGCTAAAAAAGGGAACTGGTTCTAGAACGAAAAGAGATGACAAATTCGACGTTAGCACAGTACGGTAAGAGAACTCCTAACGATAGGAGAAATGAGGGTGAATCATGTAGGATCCTAATTGAATCTAGTTGATCCTTTGACGAAAGGATTACCTTGAGAGAAAAGTCCAAAATACCACGAAGAGTATGAGACTTATGCCTACCGAACCATGGATTACAAGTGATGGTAACCCGACCTGATAGACCGGAGATCCCAAGAAGCGGGTTCAATGGGTAATAACAAGTCATGAGTAAATATTGGAAAAATTCATGCATAGTGAAGCATGAATCCCAAAGCCTTGGAGATCGAGTTAAACTCTTAATGAGATCTATACTCCATGTGGAGTGAAGTACATTACTATGGATACTTCTGACAGACTCACCTATGTGAATGTGGGAGTGAGGCCTCTTCTTATGGAACTTTGGAGGCACAAAGTTGCTAGATCGTTCACTAAACCGGATAACATGCAGGGCCATAATCGCACGACCTATGAGAGAATACCACTCAATGAAAAGATCTGGTGTGCTACATTGTCTAAGATAAGGTTCAAGACTGCGAGTCACCCTTATGAAATCGGAAGAGTAACCACTACACTAAGGTTCAAATCTTCGCAATACTTTAGCTTATGTCCGATCTTATGGAACTGTTGATACTCAAAGATAGTTTCAAAACTATTCAAGTGGGGGTTTGTTGGGATGAATAGCTTTGAAAAAATATAAATGAAATTCTTAATTAATTATCCAATATTTTTTCACATACGAAAATAATATGGATAATTAATAAAAGGAATATTATAGAGATACTTAAGATTAATTATCTTAATATAATATATTTTAATGTGATTTATTCCAAAAAAAGTGGGAATATTCTAGGTTTTCTGCTCCTATAAATAGCAGACCTCTAGCCCCTCTAAACACACCTCGAAGGAGCATAAACACGAGAGAGATCGTGAGTTCATAGAGCTTCGGTTTTCGCACTAAACCGATGAGCAACAAATCAGAGTGGCTATTTTATCCTGGAGACGACTGACTGATAGTCTGTTGTGCGCAATACGACGCAGTGCCGCGAACATCTTAAAGAGAGTGACCTAGTCTGCGACTCAGCCAGATCGGTAACCCTAATTTTTCATGTTCGGTTTCTAACAGATACTAACACGGTCCAGATGATGCTCACGTCGACCTAGATGCGATCCAAGGGAGGAGGGATGCGGGTTTGTGTGGCTCACTTAAGTGAGCTATTTTCAGGCTTTCTTCATGGAGCCGGCCTAGCCAACGAAGTTAAAGAGGAGGCTGAAGGTGGCTAATGGGTTTGCTTGTGTTTGGGCGGGATTTTGAAGAGAGTGGGAGAGGTCGAAACTGTATCCAAAAAGAAGAAGGGGAAGGTAATTTTATGCCCAACCACTTCTTTCTCTCACATCCTCCTTCTCTATTTTTCCTCTGGTTTCTCTCTTCTCTTGCGACGAAAAAGACACCGACGATGAGCATCTCCCTCCTTCCTCTTCATCTGCTATCGTGCAAAGATAAATCCTCAACAAACGAGCTCGTCTCATGAACAAGACGATTTTGTTGATGATATATTAGATGGTGTTGGCATGGCTGGATTCGATGGAGTTTTAGAATAAGAAGAAGGTAATGGTGGTGGATTATATATATATCCGGGGTACTGCATTCCTTGAGTATGAAAACGCTATCTAGACCTCGAATTATCCGAATTTTTGGGCTTGATACTATACTCCAATCGTTAATGAGTGAACCGTAGGTCCTAATTATCTTAATCATAAACTATAAACCCTAAGATGGTGCATTCATTTTTTTGCCTATATTTGGACGAGTCATAATCGTCGATTATTTTTCTAATTAAATTGATCTTGGGTATGAGATTTAGAGAATTAAGATCATAGATTTTGATCTTTAAGAGTTAGAGTATAGTATCATGTTCGAAAGATCGGTCAATTCAAGTTCTAGATAGCGTTTTCATACTCAAGATATGTGGTACCCGAGATTTCACACTAGGTACCGTAGAACTCACTATATATATACATATATGTACCCTATCCTGCTGTACTCCTGGAGTATAGTATACTCCTAGTGAGATATCTATATCTAACTATGAATTAAATCGAGTTTGGGGTATGATACTATACTCTAAACTCTAATGGATAAACCCAAACCCGAAGTTCAATTTAATAGAAAATATTAATTAACCGTTGGGATTGGTTGGAGCTCAGAAAAGAAGATCTAACAGTCATGTTACATGGAGTATGGTATACTCCTGGAGTAAACCAATTATTACCACATATATGGTGAAGTCTATTGTACACCATACATAAATTGGGGTATGTCGTACACCAGCAATCTCCACCGTCCACGTCCATCTCAACGGCCAGCATTAATGCAGGTTCTTTTTTTGTGGGATAACAAAATAAATTACCTCGTTTATACTGGCTGTTGAGATGAATGCGGACGGTGGAGATTGTCTGGTGCACGACATACACCAGGTTTTGTCTAGTGTACGATAGAACCAAACTGTGATATATGTGTTGTTGAGTTTTGGTTGGGAGCATTGAATGACATTTAATGATGTCATTGTGAGTTAAATATTTGTTGGGCGTCCTGTGGTTCTGTTATGAGCGAATTGGATACGATTTACCTACTGTTTGTTGGACATTCTGTGTAACCCTCTAACTTGTTTTCCCTTTGGTGTGTATATAGTGGGGATACTATTCTGAGGTTTTTTTATAGGATTACTAGTAGTGTGGATATTAGACCTTTGGATACAGATCCTAGTAGTGTTGATACTTTTTTGGAGAAAACGGATACTGATATTAGATTAATTGACATTAGTTAGCCTACTGTATGTTTGTTGTGGGGTTTGATTTAGACGTAAATTGGGTACTAGTCTGGGCAGTTTGGACACAGATTTTAATAGAAATGTATGTGTGTACCAACATGTCATCCAAATTTCTCGCAGATTACAATACTTCAATGCTAGAAGACGAGGAAGTGAGGAAGAACATCTTTTATCGCACTAAGGAAGAGTGTTCGGCTTTCTATAAACGCTATGCACACAATAAAGGGTTTGGTGTTCGAGTAGATGGGGAACACCTAAGAAAAATGAAGAATTCTAAAGGAGTGGTGGAGAAAAATTATTTATACCTTTATTACTTTTTGTAATAAGGAAGACTGGACTTCCACTAGTGAAGTAAATGTGGACAAACAGAGACCAGTCGGAAGACAAGGTTGTGGAGAGAAGGCTCCCTAAAAGAAAGAGGCCTCGAGTTAGGGTTGATGTAGCGCCCATGTTTTTTTTCGAAGGGATGCTACTAGGGAAGGATTTGCGGTGTATGAATTCGTAGGAGCCCACAGCCATGATTTGCACTCTACCGAGCATATGCACCTGCACAAGTCCAAGAAGTGCATGAGTGGTGCTCAGATAAAGATGGTCGAATCTAGTCGTGATGAGTCCTAGTGCATCGTATTAGCTACTGCTGATTGTGCCGGTGGGTATCAAAATCTGACTTTTACCAAATCCGATCAGAAGAACCACTTGAACAGTAAACGACAACAGAAAATGCTCGTGGTGAAGCGACTTATCTGCTTGACTACTTTGAGGACCAAAATTACAAGCATCCCGACTTCTTTTATGCTGTAGAGGTAGATTGCGAGGATAAAGTTGCTAATATTTTTTGGGTGGACACTAGTATGCGTGAAGATTATGCGCTTTTTGGAGACTCAGTCTCCTTTGATACGACCTTCCGAACCAATAGCAGCTGCACTTAGAAAGGAGTGACCTACTGTGTTTCATACGCTCTGTACTTTGCACAATCTAATGAATGCCAAGAAGCATCTTCGTAAGGACAAGACATTTTGGAAGAAGTTCCAAAATCATCTTTCTTTTATTTTCTACGATGTGGACAGTGAGGTAGAGTTCGACATGGCATGGAGAGTCATAGTTGTTGAATGTTTCCCTAATAGCGGCATTGCAGACGACCACCCGTGGTTAGGGGTGGCAGTTCGGTTACCGGTTATCGGTTAACCGGCTGGTT